GATATGACAATCACAAATCTAAAACAATAAATGACTTTGGGTTAATCTCTAACCCAGATATTTTTTAAATTTTAAACTGTGAAATACAACACACAATGGCATAAAATAGACTATTTTATAGCAAACCACTATTGTAGCTATTGCTCAGGTAAAGAAATTAAATGACACTTCCCCCCTTTCTGCCTTTTATGTCCCATCCCAATTTTAACCACTACCCCTCAAGACACTTCCTTTCTTTTTTACTTCCTAAGAAAACATCTCTAAATGCTATCATTAGTTTAAATTGTCAAATTTGAGCTTTGAAATAAAGTACTGGATTGTATGTCATGTCTTCACTCTGCTTGGATGTGAGACCTATACTCTTGGAAGTAGCCAATTCCCTTTATTTTCATTGCTGAGTAGTATTCCAACATTTAATGCCATTTAGGTTGTTAACATTTTGGAATTATTACAAATCATGCTGTGGACATTGTGCTTCTCTCTTGCTGCAACTGGGCATATTTGTTTCTGTTGGGCATTCACTTAGCAGTGCAATTTTATCTTATTATTAAAGATATTGCCACAAAGTAGGATCTAAGTCATTGATACAAATACAGTCCAAAATGGATCTTGGTATCATCCAGAGGTACCTCAAAAGAGGTCAAATTAAACAGGGAAGGTATGCAGTCCTCACCTTCAGCCGAGCAGACCCATTCGTTAACTGCTGCAGTTAAGATTTTGCTTGAAGGAGTTCTGCTCTAGTTTAACAACATGGCATACAGGGATTCATGACTTAACTTTACTTGAATTAACTATTCATTTAGTAAATATGTCTGGAGATTAACTGGAAGAACAGACTATGAATAAGGCAGCCACCTGACAATGGAGACAGAAATAGGTTTATCATTTCCAGTGCTCAAGATACTAAGTGAGTTGAGGGAGAAAGAATTAAGTGTTTGGACCTGACTACTTCATAAACCTAAGGAATTATAACCAGGAAGAGCAGGTGATCAGCTGAGTATCCTGAGAGGGCAGAGAGCACAAGCTTTGGACTCAGGCCCAGTTGTGAGATCTGGATTCTATCATAATGGAGTGATCTTGTAGAAGTAACTTCATTTTTCAGTTCAATAATGAGGTTAATATCAGGATCTCTTCTTCAGGGTTCTTAGGGAAATGAAGGGAGGTTTTAAAAAAAAATGCCTGGCACACAGCACTCAGTGTTAGCCTCTGGTTCTAAGTAGCGACACACTTGCTAGAGCAAAAGACAACATGCTACTGGCTACTAAAGAGTAAGAAAAAATTTCCAGGTATGATTTAGGGAAAAAACAATGCTACAATGATAATTTTAGAAGCTATAACTCTGTTAGGCAAGTGTGTAAATAAACTTGAATTAAACATACACATCCTACTTATGTGAACATCTAGGTTCCTACAAGAATTTGCACCATCAACAACTGAGCACCCTGGAAATATTTGACATCTTGCCTCTCTACAGATTTGTTGTTTGCCATCTAGTCAGTGCTTAATGGCAGGCATCTAAAGCCAAAAAAAAACTAGTAGAAAACAAGGTTAAAAAGAAGTGTATATGCAAGCTATCAGGTGCTATTGCTACTTCTGAGAGCAGGGACATAATCCAAATAATTTTAAGAGAAGTTGTGATCTAATTAATTGATATGTTATTCTAACATAACAGCTGTGTTCTGCACGGAATCTTAATGCGATATTCTTCAGCTCCATGGTGGCATATTAGACTACCCTGGGAGGTTTTAAAGTATTCCATTCCTAGATAAAACTGGAGGGTGCCTGTATGCTGTCTTTTTAAAAGCTCTCTAAATGACCCTAAATATGTAACTAGAGTGCAAACCACTGGGCAAGTAAGTTGC